TTGTTTCAATAAAAGGTACTGTTTCAATTTCCTGTAGAGCTCAAGCTACATAATGACTATCTGTATAGAGATTGAAGGGTGTTGAGGTCAGAAGCTGGAACACTGCAGCTACAGTGTGAAGTTCCACTACCTGTCCTGAAGCAGGGGAAGTTTGAAAAGAATAACTGCCCATAAATCACATAAGCTGTATGTCCATCAGAAGAACAATCAGTAAATACCGACGTAGCCTGGGGGATGGGACTAACCTTAACTATCTTTGGAAATACCAACTCATGCACATTAGCAAATTGTAATAATTTATCCTTGGGATAATGATTCTCTATCTGACCTATATAATTTGCAAATGCAATTGCCCATGAATCTACATTTTGAAACAACCATAGCACCTGCGCCTTAGTGCAAGGAACAACAATTTGAGCAGGCTCAGCTCCAAAGTACTGACATGATTCAGCACGCAATTGTTGGATCAAGGTTGCTACAGCCTCATAATAAGGATTAATTACTTTGGTGATACTGGTAGATGCACGCAAAGAAGAGGGCCGTCCTGCCAAAGTACAGCTGTAGGGGTGTGAGTGGTAGAAAAAACACAACCCATCCAGGGCCAGCTATAATCTACATAGGTAATTTGTTGTTGTTCAATAGCATTTTCTACTAATTGTAAAGCTTGAAGAGCATCAGGAGTAATTATCCTGCTAGAGTTGGGATCCGAATCTCCTTTTAACATATCAAATAAAGGCTTCAACTCCCGCGTGGTAAGCATCAGATGGGGATGAAGCCAATTTATGTCTCCTAACAACCTTTGAAAATCATTTAACATTCTTAAATTATCCTTCCTAATTTGTATTTTTTGAGGTTTAATTTCTTTGGGATACAGCAGTTTTCCTAGATAACTGAATGGAGCTTCCTTTTGTACTTTCTCAGGGGCAATAACTAACCCATAACTTTTCAATCCCTTCTGTAAGACCCCATAGGCGGCTAATAGCAGTCCCTCAAGTTTGTGAGCTAGTAGTATATCATCCATATAGTGAATAATATATACTTCAGGATATAGATACCTAGTCTGTGCTATAGCCTGAGCTACAAATTTTTGACATAAGGTAGGACTGTTGGCCATTCCTTGAGGTAAAACTTTCCAATGATATCTTTTCATAGGCTCCTTAAAATTTATGGAAGGTACGCTAAATGCAAGTCTCTTACAATCTTGAGGAGCCAAAGGAATAGTGTAAAAGCAATCTTTTAAGTCCAAGATAATTTTAAAGGTGTCCTGTGGAATAGCAGGAGGAATAGGCAAACCGGGCTGTAATGCGCCCATCAATTCCATTGTTTTATTGACTTCTCTCAAATCTTGTCCATTTACCTGACCTTTTCTTGACCACAAAAATAGGAGAATTCCAGGGTGAATTAGAAGGTTTAATATGTCCGCTATCAAGCTGTTTCTGCACTAACTGCTCAGTGGCTTTTATTTTTTTCTGGGTAAGGGGCCTTTGATCCACCCATACTGGCTTTTCGGATTTCCATATTATAGCATCAGCATGAGGTGTAGGTTGTTGAATGGCCTCTGTTAAAAATATCCTAGCCCTTTCATATCCAATTTTTGACACATTTGTAATGGTGCCTGAATTCCCTGCCCATTTCTTCCCAATCCGGCTTGCGGAAGCATTCCTTGATTCAACATTTGCTGTGAAACCTGCTCATTGGGACTATACAAATAGACTCCCATCTTACTCATCACATCCCTCCCCCAAAGATTAATGGGCAGCCCCTTCACAATGTAGGGAGTAAAGGAACCTTCATGTCCCTCCAGGTCCTTCCAATGTAGCTCATCACTACTTCGATAAGGACTCTGACTTTGCCCTATGCCCTGCAAACTTGTCATGGAGGTATGCTTTGCATTCCCATGTCAGGGGTTAATACTGTATAGGTGGAGGCACTGAGGTCCAGTCCTGCACTTCCTGGGGTGGTCCTAAAGAGGTCTTGAATGGATTTCCCTGCTGGGAGATGAGTGTCTGGAGCACCCCATAACATTGTTTTGGGGCCTGGGGCTGGCCCCACTCCCCATTTCCCTTCAGAAGCAAGTTCCCCATAACATCCTTTTTTGATTTGCATTCACTAGCCCAATGCTTCCCTCGTTTACAATGGGGACATAAGCCTGGCTCTTTATTTCTCTGACCTCCTCTCTGCTTATTAGGGCACCGTTTCACTTGATGTCCCAACTGTCCACACCCAAAGCAGCTCCCCCAAGGTCCAGCCACCCATCCTTTTGACCCTTTTGTTTGTTGAAAAAGTACCTCTTGAATAGGCTTTCCCTGCAATGCCGCAGCCATGGCTACTCCTTGGATGTAAGATGGCCCAATATCAGAACATAATCTTATATAGTCTGATAAATCACCTTTCTTTCTAAAAAGCCTAATAGCAGCTTGACTGGCTCCATTGGCATTCTCAAATGCAAGCTGTTTCACGAGAAGCAAACTGGCTTCACTGTCCCCCAGCAGGCGACCAGCAGTCTGTAATAATCGAGCCACGAAATCCTGATATGGCTCATTGGGACCTTGCCTGATCTTA